GGGGCCCCCCCCCCCCCGGTACGGTTGGGCGCTTCCGCCATGGGGTAGAGTGTGGGAAAGAAAGATCACATGGGAGGGGCGGGGGGCAGAGAGCGGGGGGTCTTTCTGCGGGGCGTGGGGTTTTAGGGGGGGGTTTGCGTTGCCGCGGCCGCCTCCAGCGGAGAGTGCGCACGCGCGAGTCGTGTGCTCGTGCTTCCCGTGTGTGCACGACAGGAGGGGGTATCATTACAGGTGGGATGGGGCGACAGAATGTTGCAGCAATAGGCCAGGTACAGCAGAAAAGCGGTAGTGCACAGAAGCAGAGTTCGTGTGTGATTGCCAATGGTGTGTTGTGGCTTAACTGTGAGCGTTTCTGGGAAAAGCGAGGTGGTTTCTTGAATGTTGTTCGACGGCGCTGCCTCTCACTCTCGTAGCTCGCGGGCGGCTGGGGGTGACCGGAGCTATCAACGGTCGTTTCCAATTGGACATTGCCATGAACGGAGGTTGATGAATACATGAATTACTTTTTGATGTGTGAAAGGGGGAAAGCCGGGGTTGGGGAACGTGCATTCCATGCTTTCGAGTCGTTACATTCACATGGCCTGCCGCTTAGATTGTTTCCGGGGGGTCGAGCATGAATCTGCTAGCGAGGGCCCCTAGTGCTCGTATGGAGCATCGGGCTTGGTGCTCAAGCTTTTTGCTCGGGAGGCTTGAGGTCGTACGTTTGCCGCGCGTAGGCGTATAGATGCGTAAGTATGCACGGATAAAAAGCGAATTTTCGTTTGGTCGTGGGAACCACTTTGTAAGCTGTTGATGGCGAAGCGAGGTACCGGATATTCGGTAGCGGGAAGCTTTTTTATCCTGTTTACGCCGGTGGTTTGCGTGTCCTCCCCCCCTTACCCTCCCTCCCCGCTCTATGCATAACATGCCCTTTTTTCCGCATTGAGGTACACTGTATGCGATTCATGTTCGGTTGTGGTGTTTTGGGGTCTTACATGACCTCCAAGGAAGCCTGGGGTGTACATTGCGAAGCATTATCAACTCGACTGCGACATGAAGCGATAGCGGGCTTTGCGGGCATGTTGCCTTGCGTGTGTTTGTTGGGGCGATGAGGCCGAGGCAGATCCTTTTCTACATGACACGGCGAGAGATCCTTGCCCCTGCTAGATTACCGCCTGCTTGCATTAACTAGCCGTTACAGCAGCAGAGGTCCCTGTTTCGGCCGGTTGCCCTGCTGAAATCGCTCGGCATTTATCCATTCGTCCCAATTCTCTGAATGGTGCCGTGTGCCCGATATAAATGTATACATTTTTTCCTCCCATCATTGGACTCTGTCGTCTGCCCCTCTGGCCCCTATCCTCCACTTGTACTAGCTAGACGACCCAACCGGGGTTACACAGGAGGGGGGGGCTGGACCCCCAACTGCGTGTGCCCGATATGAGAGGCCGGCACAAGCCCTGAGACCTATACCCGGCCTGAGGTCAGGGAAGTCTACCGTGTACTTTTCCGTTGTGTTAAAACCTCGGTCTAAGAGCACGTAGGCGGGTTCCCTCCGCATCACGCTCCTCGGAAGCTGTTTTCCTCCAGAGGGCAAGAGCAACGTCGGATTGAGTGCCCAAACGAAAGGTCGGCTGCCAGGCTATGTAGACTTTCGTGTGGCCGTCCGTGTTGGGTGCGGGCAACGATTGCACACAGGTCACGAAAAGGATTACAACGCAATGAACAAAACACATAACGGACACCGCTGCCACAACGATGACGAATACAATGATCAGCCCACAAGACGACGGCCACTGGAACGCGAAAACGTTTGAGTACAATGAACAGTCGGCTCCTGAAGGTGAGAAGCATTGATTTCGGGCCAAGGCTCGATACCGCTTCGAACATCGCAAAAACCTCGTTCATGCATCCGACAACGAAATGGCGTCTTCCTTCGGTCCTTGCGGATCCAGCTGACGTTCTCGAACACGCGAGTATCCCACATTTTCTCTCCTCCTCCAATTGGAAATCCCAAAACATGTATCTTGCCGCTAGATTACACAGCTATAATGTCAACACCATCTTCAATGACAACGAGGCGGAGTCGGGCGTGTAGTTGGCAATGTGGGGCCGGGTAGCCCTTGGGGGCGCGTTGAGAGATCGCCAGACACGCAGACCTCGACCAGAATATGTACTCCCAGGCAACTCAGCGGTTGGAGCACGAGCATGCAATATCCTGTCGGGCGCCCCGTTGTCCCATCGCTCCTGCTGGGGGTCTTTCGCGTCCCTCACAAAGATCTGTGTTGCTATGCAAATATCCTCCCATTGTGGCCGACCTTTTGTCCTGAACTATTGGCAGCCAACTTCGCGGCCGTAATTGAGTGTCGAAGGCATCGTGGCTGTGGTAATCGACGGTCATCCCATTCTCCAGCAGGCATTACGATGATGATTGTGCTTTCGTGACAAATTTGTCAAATCTTGTCCTTCGTTGCATTTCGCACACAGACATGAAATGTCTTCGGAATGAAGGAAACATGGTTGGTGTACAGTCTGAGCACCAAATCGTGATCGTTTAACACAACCTCAAAGTAAATTGAACAAACGACTCAAAAGGTTGTCTTTTCAGCGAGGTCGCTGATATTCATATTCATTGTTGTGCAACACCTCCGCCGTCACTGTTCCAAGCGAATTTCACGGAGGCATTCACTCGACGCTTCCTAGCGACAATCGAGACCCCGCCTTGTACGTGTCTTCCACCGTTGAATCTGAGCGCCCAGTTCGTGAGTTCTACTTTTGTATTCACTATATATGATGTCAGAATTTCGAATGTCCCTGTTAGCAGGGCGAAGTATCGGCATGAAGCGATGAGAATATTCACATCTCATCTACGATACTAATAGCGTAGTCTATTCAGTCCCCCTCGGTTCATGCGTGCCATGCCTAGATACGGTGAACAGACCAATCGGCATCACACTCGAGTACGCCGTGCCATAGAACCACAGTCCACTAACATGACTTCTTGTTTCACTCGCAAACAGCAAACGCGGCTCATGCCGCGTGTTGCACGATGCATGCGGTACGCGGCAGCAAAAAAACGCCACCGGGACAGATTTATCTTAGCGTCCGCAAAGCAGGTGTCTCCATTAAACTTGGCGCCTACTTCGCGTCCTTTCTATTTTCAAGTAACTTTGGCAATTTCGCCGCTTTTTCTTCTGCGCGCACCGCATTCGAACCGACTAGTTCAGAGACCGACACACACCAGGTGGGAGCCTGGGCGCTGCAACTGGCGCATACCAGACGCCAACAGCAGCAGAGACCACTCTGGTTGCTGTGTGCACGAAGTTTCGCAATGTCAATCCACGGTGAGTGTCGATAACGAGCACGCAGCAGCACATGCCAGAAGAGCTACAGCGAGGACAGAGAGGGAGATCGCACAAACGCGCGTACGCACACACGCGAGAATATTTGTGTCGAGCTACTGCAGCACAGCGGTAGTACTAACACCCAGTGATCCATGCATGATTTTATATTACGTGCACCCCCGTCTTCTCGCCAGAATACTTCAAGTATCGTGATGATGATGCTCTGGCACCTCCTCCGCGTTGTATTTTTTGGCTCTCTTGACTCCATCTATCGGTAGCTTCTTCGGAGTGAACACCCCACCCCAAGCAGTCGCCATCAATCATCCATCCCGACACATCGGTTTGTTGGCAACCCGCATGGCAGAATAGATGCACGGTGAATTCTTTGCTGCCCGGGTGACGGCACCTTTGCTCTGGTGTCCCCTTTCCTTGATTGATTCATTGAGGTGCAACATTTTTAAAGCGTGCGGCCCGCAGACGAATGGGTTTCACCGTGTATTGGCGAGCTTCGCCCGCGTAGGTAAACTTCTGAAAACTCTGTCCCGGTACACTCAAAGTTTGCCCAGAACGCCGGGAAGGAGCAAAAATAGATCGCATCTTATTGGTAGAACAAGTGGGCGGGGTGTCACCATTCCATTCAATTCGCAGTGCGGTTGGCCGTCAAACTGTCTATCGACTGCCTACCTGTGACTGAATTTGACGAATGAGTCGACGTCGCGAAGGATAGCATGTTTGCTTGTCCGCCACGCACATCTCGTGTGCCCACGCCCATGCCTCTACCTAATGAATGATATCATATGGAAATATCGACGGTGAAATTCACTCGGTCGTGTGGCGATTCACTCACAGCACTACACCTCGATTTAACCTCCGTCGGCTTTGGACTGTTTCGTTTGGAACCGCACCCGCCAATCGGAGATTTCTTAGTGTGGGTACTACACATGATATCAACGGCTATTGCGCTATTGGTATAGACAGTGAAACCATAGGAGCATGTGAGCACTGCTGCTCTTGGAGTTGTCCCTATAATCTGCACTCTATATGGATCTATCTCCCCTCCGTATTTCTATGTCTCGCCTCCTCGGCGGGCTTCGCCATATGCGGTAGACACGTCCTCTCTGTATGCACCCCATCTCCACGCGCGTGCTCCACGACGTTGTTTCCAATCAAAGTCCAACTATCCTGCACATTGATGAGTGCAGTTCTGCTCGAGAACAGACCCAACGGCGCTTTCCGTACATCGGTGATTTCACAATATATTGACAGAGTTTCTCTAATCTTGGTCGTTCGCAGAGTTTCGCACACATGTGATGTCTCCAGAATGAAATAAACATAGTTGGTGCACAGTCTGAGCATCATACGGTGGGCGGTTAACACAAAGGCTTGGTTGAATGAAATCAAGACGATTCAAACGTTTTTAGCGAAGGTCGCAATCATTCATGTTCTTCGCTGAGCAACACCGCCGCCAGAAATTTTCAAGTGAATGTCACGCAGGTATTCACTCGACTCTTCCTAGCGCCCACCTTGTGCTTGGCTTCCACCGTCGAATCAGGGTGTCCGGTTGGCAAATTTTACTTTGTCCTGGGGGGTTGTTTTCACCGCATGATAATTATGTCATGATATTAAACATCGCTGGTAACAGGTCGAAGTTGCGGCGGCATTAAGCGACGAGAATATTCGCATATCGTCCACGGTACTACGTACAATCATCAACACTCTGCAGCTGCCGCAGAAAAGCAGGTGTAACTTTAGTTTACCTTGGTACATGCACGCCATACCTCGAAGATGCGGACAGACCAATCGGTATCACACTCTTATCGAACCGCAGTCCATAGAAATGATTTTGTTTTAGTCACTACAAATATACGCGGCTCATGCCGGTGCGTTGAAGGGTACATTCAGACGTCGGGAACAATGCAGAAGATCGCATCTTATTCATAGCACACGGGGGCGGGGAGTCACCATTCCATCCAATTTGAAAGGCCGTTGGCCGTTGAACCGTCTGTCGACTGCCTGCCTATGACTAAATGTTGACGATGGAGTCGACGTCGAGAAGGACAGCATGTGCGCCTCTACGCATTATACACTTCGTCCGCCGACGGCCATATCTCTGCCTAATGAGAACCTTTGGGGAAATTGGCGGTAAAATTCACTCGCTTGTAGGGCGTTTCACTCACGGCACCACAGCTTAATCGGCGTACTCCATCGGCTTTGCACTTTTCCATGTGGAATGGCAACCACCTATCGAAGACATCCTATTAGGATACTTCATTCGAAACGGCAAATAAATGCTGTAAAGGTATTGATAGTGAAGCCACAAGTGCAGTTCACTTTACGCGTGTCAACGCTGCTGCTCTCTTGGTTGACCTACATTTTGCTCTTGACATGGATCTATCTCGAACCGTGTGCTCCGTGGTTCCGCCTCTCGCCTCCTCCGTGGGCTTCGCAACATGCAGTAGACAAGCACTCTCAGTGTGGCAGTGTGAGTCGTTTTTCACTCGTGGCCTCCATGATGTTGTTTCTAATACAACTCGAACTATTCTGCACATTGATGAGTGAAATTCTGCACGAGCACTGACTGAACGGTGATTTCAATAATCGGCACTTTCACAAAACATGGACTTCCATCGATGCTGTGAGCTGGCAAAAATATGGGCCAGCGATGTCAAACTTTGTTTAAAATCACCCATCAATCGTTTCTCATTTGCGAAGCGTCACCGCCGGAGCCAGGCAGGTGTTGAAACGTCACGCACTTGTGACATGAGTGAGCTCGAACAGATTCAAGTCTTGTTCAGGAATCATGGATGCCCAGCGGTTGTTTCAGTTTCATTACAGAACGAGACAGTAGTAATTTCGGTCTGTTGGTGACTTTTCACATCATGGGGGTAAACGCCTTCTGATTGGTCGAACGTTGGTTTCGGCGGTCGATCCCTCTCTACGGCCTTCTCAGATAGACCTCGAGAGAACCCATGCTGGTCAAGACCAGGCCCACACGAACCAGCAGTTGTCCACGGGTGGCGGGTGGGAGCAGGCAAATAGCATCCTCGCTGCATACTTCGTTCGCCATGCAGCAAACGGCAGTCAACAAGGTGAGGCATACAGTGAACTCTTCGTGCGGGAAGATGCATCATTTCTCCGTACCTCGCGACGACTTCAACAGCCACCCGTCAAAGTTGTAATAATGCTTCGTCGGTTACACATCATCTTGGCACTACCCCAGAAAGTCCTCTCCTCCTTGTCGAGAAGTGGCAAACACTTACACTCCTCATTTTGATTGATCGGGCAGGACAGACAGGCAATGACGACCACCCGCGGTTCAAGGGCATTTGTCTTCAAAACCTTCCAACGATCACACAATCGGATTCAGGTCCATTAGGACGCTGTTTTGGTAGTAGTGTCGATTCACAGTTCGAGTGTCAACATGTTGTCGAGGGAGACGGACTTCCGTATTCGCCTCGCGAGAAACGCACAATATACATGAATGAGGGAATGTTGTCTTTCCTCGTCTTTCCAGGTTGGTTGGTCCTCAGCAGAGAATTGAAGCCACCAGAACAACCAGCGACACAGCTGTGACGTCCAAGAGAATACGAGTTATCACAGCGCACACTTACTCGTCAAGATTTCGCATCGGTTTGTACAATGACCCACGTCTGTTGCAGCGTGCACGTTTCGACAACCGGACCGTGCGTACACCCAGCAGTTCGAACGTAGGCCGTCCACTCAAGTTTCCTCGTTTCTGAGCCCAGATGTACCGCATCCTTCACACGGGTACAACATGGGTCTACCACATGGGTCTACTACCACATGGGTCTCTGCAGCACTGCGAAGAAAGTATCACACTGCTCAGCATGGCTGAATTCATATTAAATCAGACAACCTCCTCCAACACAACCGCCAAAAGGCAAACCAATACCACATCGCATGCCTGTGTGCACACCGTATGTATGCCTATAAACAAGCCGGAGCTTTCCTAACGTAAAGGCCATGTATCGGCAATATGCCCATCCTGCCATGAAAAACTACGGGGCGTCTCCCTGGGATGCATCCCTGCTCCCTCTGCGATTTGACCAAGGGCCCTAAGCGCAACGAACTCCCGAACCCTGAGGCGAAGAAAACAGCGCCTGTGAGATGCTTCGAGCTGCGGCGTACCCACGAGGCCCCCTCCCTACACCCCCCTGGCTTGCGACGTCATCAAATGCAAAATGTATCAGCACGACCTTATTTTGACACCGAGGACCTCGCACGTGGATATATCACATTGCCTCACTGGTCCTCTCAGTGAACCCAGATCGGCCGGACCTCTTCGTATCTGGATACCAAGGAGCAACAAAAGCATGCACCGGGATGGCCCTCCACTGTGAACAGAGGAAAAATATAGTTCCCAGTTGCCACGCAAGCGACAGACCCACGCACCTCTCGATACCACGTGGGGGTCGACGTGCCAAAACAACGCCAGCGCTAGCGGCCAAGACGACACCGCGGTCTTAACCGACCGACCGTATGTATCTCCCTACTGTCCAAGTTTCAAAGGCGCCCGGGGGATGCCGAAAGCTGAAATTACCAGACATTGTGTGCAAATGAAAAGCCGAAGTGACTGCAACCAAACCGCATGAGAGACCGATCAACCCCGACCGCACTACCAGTGGGGGGGGGGAACAGTCTGCGAGAAGACAACCCCGAATACATCACTCCTAAGGCGCGTGCACTCTAACCCCTTCCCCCCACTCCTGTTCCTGTTATGGAGAAAAAAAAACTACCGAAAACAACGAATCACGGACCACACAAAACAAAGAATCACCCGACTCAAAAACTTTCCTCAGCGGCAAAAACAAGCTGCAAAAACCTGTGAACTCCAACCGTCTGGCGCTTCCGCAGAGAGTCCCCATACGGCGGTGAAGACCAGCCCAACTTCCATCTACAATCAACCGGGGGCACAGCCAGTCGGTCATGCCCCTCACTGTACCCCCCCTCTTCACAAGCCCTCTCCGAACTTTCGACCCCCCGGCCTCGCCACCCTCCCGGGGCTAGAAACCCCATTGCCGCGCGTGGAAAACGACGAAGACGTTGCCGCTCCCGCTCCCGCTGCTGCTGGAGATGCTCTTGTGCCGTACTGACCACCGGGGCCTCCGCGGCTCGTGCCCCTTCTGCCTTCCCCGCCGCCGTCATTGTAGTAGTTGTTAAGGACGCGCCCGCTGGTGTAGCGCAGCACCCTCGTGGCAAGCTTCTCGGTGAGCCGGCCCACCACCTGCCGCGGGTTCCGCCGAAAACAAACAATGAGGCAACGCAAAAATGAGGGGGGCGCGGGAGTACGTAGACTCATGACAGTACATGCCATTGTCGTTGGACCATTGGTCCCTCGCATCCCTACAGTAACGCGGGGACGGAGCGATACTTTTGACAGCCCTGGCCGCGTTTCACAAGCATCAACCACAGGCTGCCAAAAGCGTATGGGACAGGAACGATGCCCGTTAGTTTTCAGCAGCGTTCGATTGTCTTTCACGACAGCGGGCGGCTACATGTGGCCCCACCAAGAAATACGCCGAGAGACTAAGCATCCTTCCGATCCATCACTCAGAGGACGCAACAGCTGCAGTCTATCCATTAAATCTGAATGCATGCACGTGATAAGCACGACTACAGTTGTAGATGGCACAAAAAATACTGCAACAAGGTCGATATCACACCAAAAAATATACCGACATACGTGCCATGTACCTTCAGGTCAACATGCGCAGGAAAAAAAAAACACCAGCAGAAAAATAAAACAAATTCCTCAGGAACGAATAGAGTGCCAACAAATATATCTGCACGCCGAATTCCCTCATTTCCGACTTTCCCACAGGAAAAAAAAAACAACACACACACATCGACTACTTTCTACACAGCTGCAAGCCTACTAGTTTCTTCGTTGCCGAAGGAAACAATGAAAATACAAATGCCAACATGCACACCTGCAACCCGAACTCCCTCATCTCCGGCCCCAGCTCCCGAATCACTGGGGCCAGCTCCTCCCGCAAGGCGGTGCCCCGCGCAGATGTCCCCAGGCCCAGGAGGTTGAAGGGGGGAGTTGCCACGCGGAGGCCGAACAGTCCCTGGGCGGGGTTGACCGGCGTCTGTCGCTGGTTTGTCTGGGACTCGTCCTGTTTGTACCGTGTTTCAGTTGTTTTGTATTGGTCCACCATGTGACGTGAGATGGAGACAGACAGAGAGACAGACAGATACAGAGACGGTGAGAGAGAGGGTAAAGGGAGTCAATAAGGGACGAGAGGACGGGTGAGGGACGGTTGGTTTCGAGGAATAGGGACAACACGACGACTCAGCAATAAATGTCATCGGCGTGCGAAGACGAGTCGGGCGGCGAGGGGACGTAAGCTTCATAGAACAACAAGTACTGGATCATGACGTACCAGAACCAATGTACACAAACCCCAGGTCGGTCAAGTGTCGACAACATCAACACCACCCTCACGAAAAACGCAGCACGATAAGAAAGTCGAGAGGGATGCTTCCTCCACATTGGTGACACCAAAAAAAGCGCCGGGTTTGTTGGCGACCTTGCGATACTTTTGGCAAGGTACTCGTAAATAACCAGGCGGTCATGCACGGGAATTCATGCACAAAGTGTAAATCCTACAAGATTCCCCTTCGGGAGTTAGGTGGCTTGCCTTCCAGGGGCGACGCACGAGGACATGGCCAGTCGCATCGCTACATCTCAACGACATGGCGTTCGGTAGTGAGTACCGGTGTTGCGTGCAACCTGCATGCCTTGCCTGGAATTCGCATCGTGTAGGCTATGTGCGAGGTATTTTGTGTTATTCGCGGCGACTTTTCGCGTGCGTGTGTGGGCGTGAGCCGCCTACGCGAGTGGCGTCTTTGCTGCAGGTCCTACTGCTGTAATCCGCTGCCTTTGATCACTCGCTGCTTTGTATTCGTGTTGCCCATGTTCTGTGGGACGTGCATGCGTTGCGCAGGAATTGAAAGCCTCCCTGAATATCTTATTCAAAGCTCTGCTGTGTATCTTGCGAGGGCTTTCTTCGCGCGGAATACGTTCCGGGGGAATAAAACATGTTTTTTTAAACATTGTGCATCCAGCAGACGCGCGACGAGTAGCTGGCGGTCCTCGGGCGTGCGCTGTAACAATGTACCGACGATCCCCCTGCGTGCCTCCGGGAAGGCAGCGTGAGAAACGATTCACTTCGGCCAGCGAAAGATGTCCCGAAGCAGGCAAAACGGTACATACACATATTTAGAACTATCTCAGGCAGGAACCGCAGGAGGGGGTCCAGCCCCCCCCTCCTATGTGACCCCGGTTGGGTCGTCTAGCTAGTAAAAGTGGAGGATAGGGGCCAGAGGGGCAAACGACAGAGTCCAATGATGGGAGAAAAAAAAGATATATATATATATGTATGGGCCCAGACGGGCATATACGCGGGCAGTACCCAAGCACCCCGCCTCCCCCAATCTCACACCTGTAGGTTCCCCAGCAGGAAGGCGAGGAGCTTGTTGGTGTTGTCCACCACCTTCCGGTCCTCGTCGCTGAGCTTCGGCGTCACCGCCCTCAGCAGGTTGGGCACGTTGCTGCCCCTGAGGCCCACCGTGAAAGCCAGCTCTCTCGCCGCGTCCCTTCCCAGGCAGTCGGCGCCCTTCACCACCTGAGCAAGAAAAAAAATAATAATAACGCCATGGACTAATTGCTGATGTACCCCGCACTCAAGTGTATGGGGATAGAGATGAAGTCTTTTGTATCGTGAGAAAAACAAAAAAATAGGCAAGGCTGAAAAGATCGCCATCATTGTTTCATCCCGGGCTAGAATAAGTGGGCAGAGGCAATTATTGTTGGGTGATATTGGGAGAAAAATAAAAACAATCAACGACGACGGCGGGGGTTGTTGGTTGCCCTGGCCTTTTCTAAAGCAAAGCGCATCGGTTCCGCGTGAGTGCATCTCCCATAGCGTACTATACCAACCTGACAGGGCGACGAGCACATGCAGAACAGCCGAGGAGACTCGTGTAGAAACAACAAGAAGCAGACAAGAGACCACGCAACAATCGAACACAACCAACTGTTTAGACTTAACGAGCGAGCAGGCAAGACGCAACAAACAACAAAGCAGAACCAGCTATCTAGAAACCGATACAAGTTATGCAGAGAGGAGAAAAACAAATTTCGAGCAAACCGGGAAAACATCACGTGCTGTACGCAGATACCTCATCCAACAGGAACTCCCTGAAGAACTCCCCGTCCTTCCCGAACAGGAACCTCAACGCCTCCCTTGCGTCGCTCGACGGGCTTGTCACCGCCGCAACCCTCCCCGGCCCCGGTCCTCCTCCCGCTGCTGCAGTCGCTGGCGCTGCCAAGGTCGTCGTCGCTAGCGCGGACCCCGTTTGTTGGGTCGGTGTCGTCTTGTCTCCCTTGGCCTGGAACGATTCCAGCGCCTGAAAATGGGAGTGTTGGGTGGCACGTCTTCTTTACCGCTGAATCTTAAAAAAAAAAAAAAAACCGCAACGCACAGTACACGATGTGCCACGAAAGGTTGTACGCACATTCCCGCTTCCGGCCCACACGCATGTCGTGCGAAGACAGCATACGCAGGATCGAAAAAATGCTAGTTCAATACAACGCACGCTATACAAAACATTAATTCCTGCAACGGTTTGTCGCCGTGCAATCACATGGTTCAAGGCAAGTCCCTTTTTCGTGTGGAACACAAAACCGGAGCGGGCGTATGAATCTCAGACTATGCCGAACCCCCGCAGTCTGTCGGTCTCCTGGTTGAACCACCCCCCCGCAACAGTCTACCATACCTGCCACATCTGTCGCAATGTTCTTGCCTTCGCTACATTGTTGTCAGGAGCCACGGTCCGGCGTCACTCGAAAAAAAAAAGAAAACAAAAAGAAAACTACCACCACTTGTTCTCCAAAAGAACATTCCTGCTTTGGTTGCCTTCAGCAACACCGCTGTCGCCACAAAATACCGTAGAACACAACAACTCCCTCTGCAATGCATACAAAAAAAGAAAAAAACATGTACTAAAAATACTGTAAATGCTTTTTCGCCGCCGACTAGAACCCCAAGGGTTGGACAAGTGAAAAAAAGAAAAAGAGGGGCGAACGAGAGAGAAGAAGCAACATTTGGCACACCTGAAGGAGGTCGATCAACCTCTCCACGTCGAAGACGTTGCTCTTGCCGTAGATCATGTAGCGTAGGGCCTCTCTGAGCCTGGGGCTGTCATCCGTCAGCAGGCGCTTGGAGATGTAGGGGTAGGCCTCGTCCACGATGGCGAAGCCGGGGTTGCCCACCTGTGTGTGTGTGTGTGTGTGTGTGTGTGTGTGTGTGTGTGTGTGCATTTATTATTAGCATCGACCGCGCTAACCGGCTGACCAATGAAAAGACGTCAGTCTCAGTGCGGCGGGAAACACAAAATGTTTCTATAGTCCACTATCTGGGACCCCGGGGTCGAGCGTCGTAGGGGGAGCTACGCTATTCCCAGGATTACAGACAGATACCGTAGTAATAACAGAAGAAAACTGCACGTGTCTACTAAGACTGTCACCCTGCACTCGACTTCGTTTAGGAGTGCTCTCTCTATCATTCTTCTTGCTATCACCGCTACTACCATCACTATTCTCATCGTCATTTTGGCAGCAACTTTTTGGCAGCTCTTCTTCTCGTCTGTGTGTGTGTGTGTTTTGTTTTCTTATTAGCATCGACCCCGCTAACCGGCCGACCAATGAAAAGGCGTCACTCTCAGTGCTTTTGACAAAAAAAAAATGTGTGTTTTGTGTTTTGTATATTTGTCACGACCGGCCGCGGCGTCACGGCCACCGCCGGGCGGCAGACGGCACAAACAAAAAAAAATGAAATAGACAACGTCATCTAATCGAGTATGAAAAATGTGAACCGCTTGGTCGGAAAGGCACAGCAGTACGCCTGCTTCTCCCGCCACGCGTCAAACAATACACAGCAGTCGTGGAGACTCCCCCTCGCATGTGCTACGAGCGTAAAACCCCGCCGAGCACGTTGATGATAAAAAAAATCACGCATCAAGCCCCCTTTCTCTCAATTTACCAGCGCGATCCCTTCCAGCACGCCGATGGCCCTGATGATGAGCGCGAAGTACGGCGGGATGCGAAAGGGGTAGTCAAAGGTGATTTGCGCCAGGTCCGAGGCTAAGGCCTGGAAGTTGATGCTCTTAGCGCCACCGCCGGCGAGGGCCATGTTGAACACATTCGTCAGGGCCGGGATGATCGGGGTAACGTCCACCTGGTGCGGTAGGTACAGCGGACGTCAAAAGCGTCGGTGTCCAGCACACGCCGAAAAGTTATGCACAGGAGAGATCGTACACAGAGCGAGAAGGAAAAGAGAGGCAGAGAGAGGGGCAGAGAGAGAGAGAGAGAGAGAGAGAGAGAGAGAGAGAGAGAGAGAGAGAGAGAGAGA